GTCAGTCTTCTGGACACGAGATTGAATGTCAAAAGGACTAATCAATTGAATAAAAAGATTAAAAGAGATTACGATTATAGAGTCGAAACAGTGACAATCACTGATACAATTGAGGCACAAAAAGAAGATCCAAAACTTGTAAGAATATGCCTTATTCTTGATGGTGAAGACTTAGGTCGAAAATCTGAACAACAAGAGATCAAACAGAAACATATTATAATAAAAGATGTTTTACACCGTATATTGAAACCAAATGATGACAACGATCCGGAATATCGACTATACGTTCCCGAAAAGATGATTAAACTCGTAGTTACCACCGCTCATGATGGAGCCATTCATTTAGGCCGTAAGAAAACGTTAGATCGGATCAAACGAAAGTATTACTGGCCGACAATGAACAGGGATGTAGTGACACATGTGAAGACATGTCATGAATGCCAGATAAGGAAGTTTGAGACGAAGAAAGAGAGAGGACTTGCAGTTCCGATGCATGTGTCAGACGAACCGTTTGAATCGATATCAATGGATATCGTCGGTCCTCTAATGAAGTCCAAAACTGGATTCAATTACATCCTTACCGTAAATGACAGATTGTCAAAGTTTGCGCTGGCGTTTCCCTTACGTCGGGCGAGAGACAAGGATGTCATGAAATGGCTTAAAACGATAGTTTTTTGTTTGTTTGGTACTCCTCGGGAGGTCATTACAGACAGAGGGACTTGTTTTTTAAGTCATGCAATCAGAAAATTTTATTACAACAATGGTATACACCATATCCGCACTACAAGTTATAATCCCAGAGCCAATGGACAGACAGAATGTTTTAATAAAGTTGTTGGCGTGTCTTTGGCTATACTAAGTGGTCTCAAAGGAGATTGGGATCAATATTTACCACACATTATGTATAGTTATAATACTGCAATCCATGAGACGACTAAACAAACGCCGTTTTATCTTCTGTTTGGACGTGAAGCCGTGGATCCATTGGAACTCAAGTTAGGAGCTTCAAGATATCGGAAGGACGGAAAAACACGCGAAGAATCAATCGCTAAATGGAGAGAATCTGTTGAGTTGGCTAAAATGGCTATCAAAGAGTCTCAACAGAGAAACAAAGATACGGTCGACAAGACGAGAGACGACTATATCTTTGGTATCGGAGACCTGGTTCTCGTGAGACGTCCTCAACTGGAGACGACTATTCACAGCAAGTTATTGCCCCGTTATGTTGGTCCATATTATGTCATACGACAAGTCGGTCCCGTCAACTATATCATCGGTGAGACGACACCGGGAATGCCAAGGTTTGATGTCGTCCACGTAAACAAACTAAAGCCATATCAGCGTAGAAATCATGAACCGGCAGTTGAACTACCGTTTAAACTGCGAAAAGACATACCACGAGATTTTGCAGACACAGATGAAGTGTTAAAACTAGACAAAGAAATCGATAAAATGTTTCCTTATGTATTAGACACCGAAGATGAGGCCAGAGAAGAGCCGATGAAAGACATTATAGACGACGATGAACCCGAAAATTCTGATATTGACGACGAAGTCATCGGCAGTGAACCACAGCCGACGAGACGATCAAAACGAATTAAGAGACGTCCAGATAGACTGGGAATCAATTAAACTGATCCCACTTTATCTCAAATTATTTATAGTTTTTATTTTTATGTGATTTTTTTTGTGTTCTGTTTTTCGTTTATGTGATATTTTAAACTTTGTGTTAAAAACATTTAAACCAATAATCCGTTTAATTGCTTAAAGTTTTTTAGCAATTAATACAGTATATACAGTACTATGTGATATGTAAGCTATAAATGAAACCATATGTTCAAGAAAATTGGTATTTTTATTGCCTTATATGTGATATTTAAGACAGAGTTTATACGGTCAACAGTTAACAAACTGACCCTATGTTTCAATAACCGTTAAAACAGTATATTATTTGTCAAAATTAATGGTTTTTATGGGTTGTTGAGTAATTAATATAAGTTTCTGTGATATTATACACATTATTCTCTATATATATTTACAAGAAATTTATTTGAATTTTTTATGTTTTATGTGAGTCTGAAGTACAAAATTAGTTAACAGTTTTTTTTGGTTTTAGTGATATATACAGTCATTATAAGCTAATTCTATGTGAATATAAGCTTAATTGCAATTATTTTTGTATAAGTTTATACTGTAGTTAACTATTTAGTTAATAAACTGAATATTTAAGGGTATATAAAGTGGTAGCAAACAAGTGATATAAACACTTGCGTTTTGAATGCGTTGAGGTTGTCATACAATGGCTAGTAGTGCACCAAATACACCAACAAATATAGGTACGGGTTGTGGTAATTGGTTACCCTCTGACAGATATTATGCCCATTTCTGGAGTTGCATTGAGTGTCAATTGGTCTCTAGTATAGGTATATTACAACATAGAGACACCATTATTGAGACTGAAGATTATGAAGAAAAAGTTAAGAATTTAACAGCCGATGTCGTATTACCCGAGTATGCGGTAACTAATATCGACAGAATATTAAAATTATCAGAAGCCGGAAGACAGCTTATTAAACAACATGAGGCCGGGGGCGGCCTTATTGAGAAAGGGGGGGAAGGTCTATTTTACCAAACGGTAAAAATAGATGACTTAGATAATAACCCAGGTGCCATGTATTTGAAAATGCTACCGATTAGATTTGGATATTCAAATCTGAAAACTTTGGAGGATTTTATATTATTCGCCTGTAAAAATATAATACATATACGCGATTTGGTCAAACATTATCGGTCATGTGATCAGTGTCGGGAGTTTGCGGGGAAAATACCTCCGTATTATACCGGAAATTAAACCCTCAATCTCTGTCTTATGTTTGTTTGTTTTAAGTAAAGCTATGTGAAAGTTATATAACTATTATATATTACAAAAGTTTTGTTTTTTTTTTTTTTTTTTTGTTTAATTAGCACCTGTATGCGTAAACTATGACTCAGTGGCCAGTTGACCACTACCCTAATATATGTGTTTTATTGTGAACTTTAGCCCAAATATGTTATAATTTGTTTGATTTATTTGAGTGGCAATCATACGACTTGTTTTTAGTTTTTACTGACAATTTTGTTTTCGACAAGTGTTCAACAAATTTTGGTTCCCGAAGTGCATATCAACTATGGATGACAATGACAACAATCAACAGTGGAATCAACAGATGGTGGATCAGGTTTGGAGCCAACTCAGCGGTCAGTTTGGTCGTGCAATTCAGGAAACGTTTTCCCGAGAATTCGAGGACCAGGATTTGGGACTTCCGTTCCCATGGAGAGAACCGCCCGCTGATGTGTTTGTAGTCGAGGGTGTTATCTATGTTAGCCCTGAGCGAGACCTAAGCGTCGGTAATAATCCGCCGCTCGAGGAATCGATAACCGAACGACAATCAATTCAGGAGGAGGTCGCCGAAGAGGGACCCATTCAAAGGGATGTCACTCCTGTATCAACTGATAGTAATGGTTTGGCCGCAGTCAGACCGCCTCAACAAAGGGATGGCAGAGGTCACGGACGTCCCGTGAACCCAACCGTTCAACGTGTTATACGGGATCAGACCCGCACTCAGGGTGTGGCCAGAGGTCGCGGTATTCACCCGAGAGGTCAATGATCGCCGGTTTTGTCGGGGGCGACAAAAGTCGAGTATAGGGGAATGAAATGTTAAAACATTTCAATCATTTAATCATTTTTTTTAATTATTTAACCATTGATTATAATATAACTTTTTGTTTATAAGTTTAAAAACTATTTTGTACTCTAATATTCAATATTATAACTTTATGTTAATCATTAATGTTTTTGATATTTTTGTATTGTTTTAGTGTTTAGTTTTTGTATTATTTTATGTTCAGTCTTGTGTTACACTCGAGAGAGGAAAGTCGTGTTTTTAGACGGCCTTCAATTAACACATGTTTTTGGTGTAATTTTAAGTCCCACTCTTAGGGCATTTAATTATTATATGTTTTGTCTTAATTGATTTAATAATTTAATTAACTATTTAGTTAATCAATAATAATATACTTAATGATCTCAATTATAATTCAATTATAAGTTTAATTAATAAATAATAATAAAGTTTTGTATTTAAAGTTATTTAAGTAATACATATTTTGTTGGTATACACAGTATATGTCTATAAGCCGAGTATTGGCTTAGAGTTTATGTTATATAGTATTATTGATATTCTGACGGTAATTGTGGTTCGATTCTGTTCGACGTTAGTTAAAGTTATTGCCGTTCGAACAGTGGCTTCCGGTTCCGTTCGGATTGATGTGAATACGAACACGTATTTATTATTTGACAATTAGTTTGTACTGTTTACCCCCCCCGTGTGTTTGTAACCCCCGTTGTATTGTTTATCACCCCCGTGTTATCGTGTTCAGTAAATATATTTGTGAGCTACACCTAGCCATAGTAACGGAGCGCTTACCCATTTGGTCTATTGGTTGATCTACGGGTGCAATCCCCTCTCCGTTGCATATACATATACATATACATATACATATACATATACATATACATATACATATACATATACATATACATATACATATACATATACATATACATATACATATACATATACATATACATATACATATACATATACATATACATATACATATACATATACATATACATATACATATACATATACATATACATATACAATTAAATAATCAATAAACGGGGATTAAAAATTTATATAAATTTATTTATTTAAAAAAATTTATACCAAAAATAATGTATGAAAATTATAATGATTTTTAAAAAATTGTTTAATAATTATTATTATTTATGTATGTGTGTGTATATTTATATATAACTAACTAAAAATAGTACATACATTTATATTGACACTGAAAATTATTTTTTTTATAAAATATTTATTTATATATATATACTATTTATTTTTTAAGCAATATTTACTGTATATAATAATAATAATAAAATAACTATTAACATGTCAATCATTGGTAATTTTACTAAAATCTATACATTTAAATCATCCGATAATGTGTTGGCATTTCTAATGATGCGAGGTTAGTTATATATAAATATATAATAATATTAATTAATTAAACAAAAAAAATGTAAAAATTGTAAAAAATAGGAGTTCCCAATGATAAAGCTGTCAAATGGTCTAAACTTAAATCGGGAATAGATATCATCAAAGAGGGTAACCTGTTTACCATTAGACGGTACCGGGATATTGATGAACAGTCACATGATATTAGTTTCGAGTTGGACAAGGAGTTTGATGAAACCCGACCCAATGGACAGACAGTTAGGGTAAGACACTTACTACATAAGCGCTAGTAATTTTTTTTAAAAATATTACAATTTAGAAATAAACAATTTATTTAATTCTATAAATATAATTATAAAAAACAAATGTTTATTTTTTTTAATAATAATATATATTAATATAATAGTTAAGATAATATGTATTATATATAGATATAGGTATATAAGTATAATTTATTTTATTATATTGTAGTCATAATTATAAATTATAAAAAAATAATATTATTAACATAGAGTGATTACACACCTACTCTATATTTTTATACTAATAAAGTTAAAAATTTTATATACATTATAAATGTTGTATTTATAAAMTCTCTYTCTCTCTCTCTCTCTCTCTATGTATGTATGTATTAATAGAGTATTGTTGTCGCCGGTGGTAATGATGGCAATCAATTAATTAAGACCCAATTGGGCGACAATGAGACAAAATTTGTCTATGATTTTAATGATAATAAATTGGTGATTACCGGCACCTATACTAGCAATGGACTACAGGCCCAGTGGATATACACCTCTACTAAACAATTAGATAACTAACTAACTAAATAATAACTAATTTTTATAATACCAGTTCCATGAGGTATCCTAAACTAAAAATTAAATTAAAAAAAATAATATATAACATTATTTTTATATAAAAATTAACTAATTCATTCAATGTATTAATTAATTAAAATAAATAGTTTCAATAAAACTAATAATAATTATCGCATTTAATAAAATTAATAATAAATATTGAGTAATAAATAAATAAAAATTTAATATTGTGATATAATTGAAACTGTTTAATAAAATAAAATTCAATTAATATTTATAAAATTAATTGTTTCGTTGTTTATTTATTAATAAATATTTTTTTAAAGAAATTTTTAGTAATACATTAAAAAATGTTTAAACAAAAAAACATAAATCTGATTAACTATAATCATATTTAATAACAATAAACAGTAGTTAGAAAATATGTTTATAAAAAATATATATTTTGGTAATATTAAACATTTCATTAATAATTGTTGATAATTTTGTTGGCGCCTAATTGACAGTTAACTAACCAAACCTATGATAAAATTAAGATTTTTTTTATTAAACTATTTTAAGATAATAAAAAATATTATATTTGCAGTATTACGTATATTGATAATAATTATAAAAATATAAAACATTATATAGTAGTAGTAGTAGTAGTAGTAGTAGTAGTAGTAGTAGTAGTAGTAGTAATAGTAGTATAAAATAAAATAAAATAAACAAGAAATATAATCATTGTCAATGTTCAAGGTCAAATTTTGTTATACCTACAATAGATAATAATTTTTGTTTATTGTTGTTTATTATGTTAAAAATAAAGTTATTAAAAAAAATTATACAATATTTTGTTGTGATAGCAATTTTATGCAATTTTAAAAATTAAATTACAAATTTATAAAATAAAAAATCTAATTGTATAACAAATTTATTTTTGTAATATCATTATTGATTTTTTTCAAAATTTATGTATGATTTTAATTTAAATAATCATAAAAACAAAAAAAACTAAATATTTATACTATTATTTATTACTTAGCGTTATATTGTCTATATATAATATAATTTTTTGTTAACAATATTAATATTAATAGTAAATGAAATATTAAAAATAAATAAATAAATCTTTTATTTTTTGATTACTCATTATATTTGTAATGGATATTTGAAAATTAGAGGTTATTTTTAATATGAATGAGTCAAATGCTATTCAAAGAGATTATTCAATATTCAAATAGCAATCAATATTCATATTTCAGTTAAAATTAAGAGTTTATAATATATTTTATATGATTTATAAGTCTAATAATTCAATATTCAGTTATAATTAGTACTCAATATTCAGAGAATCAACTATTCATATGATATAAGTTTAATATCGAGTAATTCAATGAAAAAGTTATGATAATTAGTATTATTTAAAATATTTTATATATTGAATCAGATTTCTAATATTTATTGTAAATTTCCTAATCTAATGATTAATGCAATTATGAATTTATGTCTATATAAGCACTTGATTATTGAAATGTAAATTCAGTCCTAGAGTTAGTCCTAAGAGAGAAGTCATAAAAGATAAGTCTAAGAGAGTGAGGACTCAGAGAAGGCGGCCTAAGGAGGTCCGACCTAAGAGAGAGGGACAGAGAGCCCATATATATACAGAAAACATCATTATCTATATTTATATTCATTTTGTATACTTTTATAAATTTAATTTATTATAAATAAAGTGGTTTATTGTTAACAAAATGTGATGTGATTTAGATATTGATTGTGAATAGAGTTAAGATATAGAACGCCTATCAAGTGATAGTGTGATTACGAGTAGTGCTACAGAAGAGATCGGAATCGTGAGGACGCGTGACTTATATTGAAAGTGATTATTCGACTGCGATATTGCGAGACCAGACATACTGTCTGAATTAGATCTAAGAGTACCTGAGCTTTGAGCTATAGTTCCTTGTTTATGGTCGGCGTAAAATACCGTCCATTACATATTTATCTAATTTATTAAATCTCACAGTTATTTAACATACTATAGGATGACCATATATATAGGTAGTTATAGTACAAGATATATATATCTAACTAGTAAACAGTAATTATAATAAATTTTTATAAAATATAATAATTTATAAAATTTAATTATAAAAATTAATTAAAATTTCTCCTATACAAAATGATTAATTTTATTGAAATTAGTATACATCAAAATTTTTTTATTTGTTATCTTATTTACCAGTTTTATACGAATAAAATAATTAGAATAAATAATTTTATTTTATTATTTTAATAATTATAAATATATTTTAATTATAAAATTAACACATTAAATATAGTTATGAAAAAATAATAGTTTAGTCACTATATAAATAAAATTATATATATGCTGAATAGTATATAGTTTTTGAAAAAAAAATTATATAAACTTGTTCAATTTTTAGTTTTTGTTAAAAATAAATAATGCGAAAAAAAAATTAATTTCTATTAATATTAATTTCTTAAAAATATTATTGAAAAAATTTAAAAAAAATAGACTGTGGTGATTTTACTTGTACCTACATTAAAAAATCATCGGATAATGCACTGGCATTTTTCAAGGCTCGGGGTATATTTATTAAAAAACATATTTTTTCAAAAAAAAACTGTCCTAGATATAAAACTATTAAAAAACTATTTTATTTATTTTAATTTGTTTCTTCTTAATCTTATAATATTAACTCAAATTATTATTAATAGTACAATAATAGCAATTAAATGTTTGTTATTTTTTCCTCTAAATTCAATTTTTTTTGCTATTGATTATTCATTAAACTAATAATTTTGTTTTCATAAAACCGAAATTATTTTATAATATAGATTAATCAAATTTATAGGTATTATTTTTTATTAGTATACATATATATATACATATATTATATAGTAATTAAATTAGATTTTATAAAAAAAAATTGTTTCTTTGTTTATTTATTAATAAATTATTTTTTCAAGAAATTTTTAGTAATGCAAACTAACATAAACTATAATCATATATAATAACAATAAACAGTAATACAAATTTATAAAATAAAAAATCTAATTATATAATATATTTATTTTTGAATTATAATTGTTTTTTTTCAAAAATTTATTTACGATTTTAATTTAAATAATCATGAAAAAACCAAAAATAAATATTTATACTATTGTTTATTACTTAGTGTTATATTAACTATATAATATTTTTTTATTAGCAATATTAATATTAAATGACTTATTAATAAAAACAAAATTTTTTTGAATTTTTGATTACTCATTATATTTGTCTATTTTATAAAATCACAAAATCATTTAATATGCTGACCATATATACAGGTAGTTATAGTACTAGATATACTTAAATATTATACAGTAATTATTTTTAAAAAAATTATACAATATAATAATTTTTTTTAGATTTAATTATAAAATTAATTAAAATTTCTTTTATACAAAATGTTATTTTATTGAAATTAGTATACATTAAAAAAATTATTTGTTTCTAACCATTATATTATTTATCTGTTTTCATACACATAAAATAATTAGGATAAATAATTAAATAAAAAAATATATAAAATATATTTTGATTATAAAATTAATACTTAAATATAGTTATGAAAAAATAATAGTTAGTCACTATATATACTGTATATATATATATAATATAGTTTTTGAAAATAAAATTATATACACGTATTCAATTTTTAGTTTAAGAAAAATTATATAAACATGTTCAATTTTTAGTTTTTTTTAAATAAATAATACTAAAAAATCTAATTTCTATTAATATTTTTTTTTGAAAAATGGACTGTAGTGATTTTACTGATACCTACATTAAAAAATCATCCGATAATGCACTGGCATTTTTTAAGGCCAAAGGTATATTGATTAAAAATATAAAATATATTTTTTTTTTGGTTAAAATAAAGTCCTAGATATAAAACTATTAAAAAAAACTTATTTTATTTATTTTAATTTGTTGTCTCTAATTTACACCCAAATTTAAGGACATTCCGATAAAATGGCCGCTGAAATTATGGCCTACAAATTAAGATTGATTATAAGCAAATCGGGTAACGAGTGGACACTTAGCCGGATAAATAGTAACGGTAAACAGCATACACTTAAATTTGAATTGGACAAGGAGTTTGACGAAATTCTACCCAATGGCCATATAGCCAAGGTAATATAAATATTATATATTGTTTATATATATATATATATATATATATATATATATATATAATGCCAATTAAAAGTTTAAATTTGAGTAATATCCTAAACAATTATTAACAAGGTAATTACGCTTAGCAAGGTAATTTAGTATACAGTTACCTAATATATGGTAAGTTATATAAAGTACCTTGCTAAAACATTATACAAATATAACTCAAATTTAAACTTTTAAGTGGCACAAACTGTATATATAATTTAACATGTACAATTTGTGATATTTAGCATGATAAATTTATTTTATTTCAATTATTAATTTAATAAATCTAATTTAATTCAGAGTATTGTGTCGGCTGGCAATGGATGCAAACAATTCATACATAAACAATTAGATGGGGAACTGGAGATAAAATTTATCTACGATTTCAATAATAGCGAACCAGTAGTGACGGGAATCATTGGCGGAGTGACCGCCAAATGGTTTTTTGCTAAAGATTGAAAACAAATCATTTTTTAATTATTTTAATTATTAATTACATTGAATGTTAAAATTAAATTAAAATATAATTTACAAACAATTTAATAAAAAAAATAATAATTAATTTCAATTTATTTAATTTATTTAAGTATATTCTAAGTTATACATTAGATATAAATATTTTATTTTAGATTTAATTTAATAATATTAAATCAAATTATTAATACAATAATAGCAATTATTTTTATAATAATATTATATTCATTAAACTTCAAGTCATATATTTAGAAAAGAATAGCTAAAAATTAATGACACTTTAGATTTTTTTAAGGTTTTAAGTAAATGTTTGTTATTTGTTTCCCTCTAAATTCATTTTTTTTACTGTTTATAACTCATTAAAATAATAATTTTGTTTTCATAAAAGCGAAATCATTTTATAATATAGATTATAACCATATTTATAGGTATTATTTTTTAATAGTATAATTATATACCTATATTATTATACAGTAAATAAATTTTTAAAAATTTAAACAAAATTAAATTAACATTATTTGATTTACATACTGTATTTCATTATATAATTTACTAATTAATTTAATGGCTAGCTATGATGGCAACCAATTGATATTAAAAAAAACAATTAGCAGGGAACGGGATGTCATAATAAACTACAATTTTATGAGTTAGTTAGTTAATTATTATTTTATTTGGCAAAAATTAATATTACATGAAATATTAATAAAAACAAAATTTTTTGATATTTTGATTACTCATTAGTTTTTTTAGCAATTTTATAAAATCACAAAATCATTTAACATACTGTAGACTGACCATATATACAGGTAGTTATAGTAATATTATATATATATATATATATATTATACAGTAATTATAGCAAATTTTTATGCAATATAATAATTTTTAAAATTAAATTATAAAATTAATTAAAAATTTATTGTATATAAAATATTTTTTTATTGAAATTAGTATACATTAAAAAATATATATATTATTTACCAGTTTTTATACACATAAAATAATTTGGATAAATAATTAAATAAAAAAAATTTATAAATATATTTTAATTATAAAAATTAACACTTAAATATAGTTATGAAAAAATAATAGTTAGTCATTATATATATATACTTAATAATATACATTGTATATATTATAGCACTTCATATAAATATTAATTCAACTAAATTATTAATTTTTTTTATTTGTTTAGTTAAGACATTGAAATTATAATCTTTATTGTAATATATAGTTTTTGAGAAAAAAAAATTATATACACGTATTAAATTTTTAGATTAAAAAAATAATACTAAAAAAAATTTAATTAATAATTAAATTAACATTTTTTTTGAAAAGATTAAAAAAATTATATAAACTTTGTTCAATTTTTAGGTTTTTTAAATAAATAATACTAAAAAAATCAAATTTATATTTATATATTTTATTGAAAAATATTATTGAAAAAATATTGAAAATGGACTGTGGTGATTTTACAGCTACCTACATTATAAAATCATCTGATAATACGCTGGCATTTTTCAAGACCCGGGGTATATTAATTAATTATTTTTTTGTTTGTTTAAAAAAAATATCCTAAATATAAAACTATTAAAAACTATTAAAATTTTATTTATTTTTTTCTCTAATTTACCAATTAAGGACTACCCGATAAAATGACCGCTAATGTTGCGGCCTGCAAATTTAGATTGGTTATAAGCAAATTGGGTAGCCAGTGGACAATTAGCCGGGTGCTTATTAACGTTATAAAGCATACAATAAAATTTGAATTGGACAAGGAGTTTGATGAAATTAAACCCGATGGCCATGTATCCAGGGTAATATATATATATATATATATATATAATTTATAATTTAGCATGCACATTTTGTGATATTAGCATGATAAATTAATTTTATTATTATCATTATTCAGTGTATTATGTTGGCTGGCAATGGAGGCAAACAATTGATACAAAAAATATTTGCGGAACGGGAGGTAAAAGTTATCTACGATTTCAATGATAGCGAAGCAGTAATGACTGCAACCGTTGACGGAGTGACCGGCAAATGGTTTTTGGTTAAAGATTAATAAAAAAATTATTATTAATTATTTTAATTATTAATTGCATTAATATTAAAAGCAATAAAAATAAAATTTAAAAATAATTTAGTAAAAAAAATAAAAATAAATTTCAATTTATTTAATATACATAATATATCTATCTAAGTTATACATTAGATATAAATATTTTATTTTATATTTAGTTAATAATATTAAATAAAATTATTAGTACAATTATTTTTATTATAATATTATAGCCATTAAACTTCAAGTCATATATTGAGAAAATAATAGCTAAAAATTAATGACACTTTAGTTTTTTAAGCTATAAGTAAATGTTTGTTATTATTATTCCTATATTTATTTTTTCCTCTAAATTCAATTTTCTTACTATTGATTACTTATTAAAATAATAATTTGTTTAATAAAATCAAAATCATTTTATAATATAGATTAACCATATTTATATGTATTATTTTTTATTAGTATACCTATATTATTATACAGTAATTAAATTAGATTTAATAAAATTAAATTTACATTATATAATTTACATAATGTATTTATTAAATAATTTACTAATTAATTTAATGGCTGGCAATGGTGGCAACCAATTGATACAAAAAAAACAATTAACGGGGGAACGGGATATCATAGTAGACTACAATTTTATTGGTGTAATCGCTAATTGGGGTTTTCTGTTAAATATTAATTAATTATTATTTTATTTACTTATAAGTTTATAAAAATAATGTATTGTTTATTTTTTAAAATGCTACTAAAAACATTTAACTAATACTATAATTTTTTGTTTATATTTATTAATTAATTATATTTTATAATTATATTGTATTGTATTAAGTTTAATGATTGTAAACAATTTATAAAATTATTTATTTTTATATTAGTTAATGAAAATAAATATTAATAATAATTTATATTATTATACATAGTATAAATACTTTATTATTATTATTATTATTATTATAGTTCAACTTAAGTGCACTTTATTTTTTACAATAAGTTTTGCAAAGTAAATGCTAATAAGTATTTAGTACTTAAAATTAAATATCATTTAATTATATAGTAATTGATTAATTGATTAGAAATTTTGAATAATAATCAAGAAAAAGTAAAACAATAATCGTATTAATATATATTAATAATTATTAAACTGTACTTATAGTATGTATTAATTGTCATAACATTTTTTTGTAGTGATAATAGTGTCTATAAATATAAAATAAAAATCTGTAATAGAAAAATCAATTGTTTTTAAAACAAGTTAAATTAAATATTATTAATTATAATATTAATATTATAAATAATTATATATATATATAATAATAATAATAATAATAATTGTAATGGCTAACACTGGTGATTTTAGTAATACATATACACTAACATCATCGGATAATTTGTTTGAATTTTTAAAAGCTAGAGGTTTTTATATTTAATACAATAATAATAATAATTAATTAATTAATTATTATAATAATAAACTAATTAATTATTTTAATAATAAACTAATTAATTATTATACTAATAAACACACTAATCATAATAATAATTATTAATTAATTAATTATTAGGCCTTCCCGATGATATGGCCGCTGATTATGCGTCCGCTAAGCCGACAATGATTTTAAGCAAAAAGGGCGACCAGTTTTCAATGAGACGTGTGTTTGTTGACGATCCCAATAAGTCACACGACGTTAGATTTGAATTGAATAAACCGTTTGAAGAGATCCGACCCAATGGTCCAACTATTAAGGTATGTCTAAATAAATATCTATTTACTGTATTATTACTATCACAACAAGTTTTTTTTAAATATTGAAAATATTAGATAAATAAATAAATAATAATAAATTTTTTATAGAATAATAATGTTAAAAGTTTATTAAATATATAATTATTATAATAATTATTTAATAATTATATATAAATATATATTTAAAAATATATCTAGAGTATAGTGGTTGCTGGTGATGGCAAACAATTGATTCAGACACAAACAGGGGACAGGGATGTGGTTAGAATTGTCTATGATTTCAATGGTAAAGATCTACTAAGCAATGCTACCATCATTGGCACCGGTATTTCAACTAAAGGTGTTTTCACACGAGTTGAATAAATATTTAAAAAATAAATAAACTAAAACATTTGATATAAATAATATTTAATATGTAATTTTAAAAAAGATATATTTAATTTAATAAAAACTTTTTGAACTATTTTTTTAAATTGAAAAAATAAATTTATTATTAATATTCAACAACAACAACAAGAAAAATAATAATTATATACTAATTATAATATAAATGTATTTATTTTGTTTACTTCTATTGTTTTTTTTAAATTATAAAAAAGTATTAAAAATTATATGCATTATGTGTTTATTAAAATAATTTTTTTATTATAATAAATTTATTAAAGAATTTATGTTTAAATAAAATTTATTTATTTTTGTTTATCTAAATTAACTAATATTTGAAGTATACAAAAATTTATATTATTATTTTAATAGTTATATATAAAAATAAATCATTAATATTAATAATTAAAAATATTTATTAGATATAATGTATTAATTTAGCATAATGTATAGCATAATATTAATTTACAAACAAAAATACATAGTTTAATAGTTGTATAAGTAACTTAAATATTAATACTATGTTATAAAGTTACAAAAAAAAATTAAATTAAATATTATACCAATGTTCAATAAAAACAATATTTTTAAAATTGATATTAAATTTAATTTAGATATTAATAGCAAAAAATTGTTATATACAATTGTATATATAATAATTGATAGACATATGAAAAAAATAATAATTTATTAAATAGTTATTAATATCAATTATGTCTGAAAATTTTTGAAATACTATATACAGAGTATCTATAACTAAATTTAGTGTAAAATTGGTAAATAAATAAAAAATTAACTTGATTATTAACATACTGGGGGGCTAATAGTGTATTAGACGGTAGGGGTAACTGTAGACAACTAACCTGTCAATTATTATGAGAGTTTAATGAACTTTATCTTTTGAAAAAAATGATTGTCAAGGTTATTTTCTAAATTTATTTTTTTTAATTATTAATTAAACTATTAATAGATATAAAAATCAGTTTAGGCAGGGTCTAAGTTTAACATTTTAACAGTTAGTTATGTTTTTACTAGTCTAATGATAATAATTTATATATAAAAAATTATGAGTCAAAAAAATTTGTTAATTTATAAACAATTAGAGGAACTGAATGTCTAAATAGATAACAATTTTCGTATCAATCATCAAATGAGTGTTTTTTTTTGCAAAAAAAATTAATATTAATTAACTAAAATTCATGTATAATTTACTAATTATTTTGCAAATATTAACAAAATAGATTTTTAAAAAAATGTTAATAAACAATCTTTAGTTTAATTTTATTTAATATTAATTATTTAATAATAATATTATAGTAATATTAAAAAAATTGATATAAATATTATAATATTGTATAACTTTAGTACAATTTATGTTAAATATTGTTTATTCATTTAATTTTTTTTAAATAACTCAAATATGAGATAATAAATAAAAAAATAAGTTTTTTCATCAATTTTTTGGCTCCAAGATTATTATTAATTTTTTTAGATAATTAATTAATTAATTATTTCAATCATTCAAAATAATTTGTACTTAAATATTCAGTTATTTTACATTCAAAAAAATTTTTCTATACAAATGAATAATTATTATTTATCATAAAAAAATTAACTAATATTTTAGACATTCAAAAAAAAATTCTCATATTATTCATATCATAGATATTAAAATAAATTATTATAAATATATATATATATTTATAATAAAGTACTAAACTATTAAGTTATAAACAAATACATATAATAAGATAGTATAATATAATTTAATAATTATAATATTGTATAAATAAGTTTTACTACACTAATAAAAAATGCAATAAAAAATGAAATATTATAAAATACATATACATTTAGTAGACATACTATTAGATATTAAAAAACAATGATAATACTGTTTTATGTAATAGCAGTTTTATTTTTATCAAAAAAATTTTAGTTATTATTATTATTATTATTATTATTATTACTACTATTACTACTATTACTACTATTACTACTACTATTACTAAAAAAACATTTTTCAATAGTGTTGGCAATAATGTTGGAAATTTCTAAATAATATTTCAAATAAAATTTACTTAATATTTATTTATATTAATAACAAACTAAAAATTTTTTATTAAATGAGAAATTTTCGGATAAAAATTTATAACAAAAAAATTTGTTTTATTTGTTTATATCTTTATATTTAGTTAGTGTAGGCACAGACTGTGATAATAAATTAAAAAAAAAGATAAAATAAATAAATATCATATCATATAATTGATTGATTAAGTTATATCATAAATTTTGTAATTTCATAGATAAGGCAATAATTAAAAAAAAATTGTATATAAATAATCAAACTGTACTCACACTGGTAGGTAGTAGTTGTTTGCTAATAAACTTTTTTTAGGTGTCAAATTGGTTTGCCCACTAAATCAAATGTAATTATTTGTTTTATTATAATTATATATTAATATTATACATATATTATAATTTAATATTAAAAAAATAATATTTTTATATAACTATTTAGCCATATCACACACAAAAATGGCCACTGGTGACTTTAATAAAACTTATACCTATAAATCATCGGATAATGTTTTGGGATTTTTGAAAGCTAGAGGTAACTAAAAATTTTTTTTTTTTTTGATTAATAATAATAATAATTAACTATTTATATACAATATATTAAAATACAGCTTATTTTGAATCTAACCTTTTAATGATAATTAAAAAAATAAATAGGAGTTCCCGATGATCTGGCTGCTCAGTATGCAGCGGCTAAGCCGACACTTGAATTGAGCAAAAAGGGTGACCAGTATACTATTAAGCGGGTGTTTGCCGACGGCCGATCCCATGAGGTTAGCTTCGAGTTGGGCAAAGAGTTTGATGAGACCCGACCTAATGGTACCACCATTAAGGTATGTCTAGACTATAGTCTAGTATTATATATATAAATCAACTCAAAATAACAAAATAAAACTAATAGTATATAAAAAATATTAAAAATATACAGTATTTTTTATAAACAAAAACAAAAAGTTTTATATGTATTAAAATAGCCTATTTAAAAAAAAAATCTAAAAAATAAGTTTATCAATAATTTTATTTTAGCGCATTTAAAAAAGATTATATTATATCTTTAATAAAAAATTAAAACAATAATTATTATTAGTATATTATAAATAGTTAATAATAAAATTTGAATTGTAAATAGTTTACTAATTTAACCAGTAGCCATACATTTTAGTATTTATATTAATTTTTGTTATATACTATTAGTTTTGTTTATTACATGAAAATTTTTTATGAAATATAATTAAATGGGTATAAATATTAATAAATATTATTTTTTTAAATTATTATAATTCATTAATAATTAATATATTATTTATATTTATTTTTAGAGTGTAGTGGTTGCCGGTGAGGGTAAACAATTGATTCAAACACAAAAGGGAGACAAAGAGGTCAAAATTGTATACGATTTCAATGGCGATGATGTGGTCAGTACTGCTACCATCACCGGTGAAGGTGTGTCCGCTAAATGGGTTTTCTCCAGAAATCAATAAATCAAAAAAAACAAAACATCATTTTTCTCTAGAAAATAAATAACAACTGATTTTTTAAAAAAATATGTTTTTTGTAATATTTGCAATAAACTAATTGATTGAATAAAAATAAAAAGTTTTTTTTATAGAAAAAACAAATATTGTTTTAATTTATTTGTTACATAAAATAAATTTTTTTTAACTAGTTAACTATTATATAAACTTAATAGATAAACTAAATTTAAAAATCAGTAGGGTAAAAATTAAAAATATTTTAACAATTTATATATATATAATTTATAAAAATTTAACAATGTTGCATAAATAAAACTTGATAAAAATTATTATATAACTAATCAAATATAATATTGTACATTTACGTTAGTGATTTATAGACATATAAACAAGATAAAAAAATATTAAATTTTTTATTAATTCAACTAATAAAATTACACAAAATAATAATAATAATAACTAAATGGTATGATAAGTATTTTAATTAATTTTTTAAAGTTAACTAAATTAATTATTTATTATATAGTCACGTAACTAATTATATATTTTTTTGATAATATTATTTTAAGTATATTAATAAAAAAAAACTAAAAAATTTTATTATAATTTATTAATGAAATTTCTGATATATATTCATCAAACAATTTATCAACAATTGTAGGCAAATACAATACTAATATACTGTATATAAAAAATAGATTTAAAAATTAATAATCATATAAAATATACAGTATATACATAATATAATTGACTGATATATCATAAATTTTAGTTTTATAGATAAGCCAAACATATATAAAAAAAATTGTATATAAATTATCAAACTGTACTGACACTCACCCATATATATTTTAATAGGTGTCTATTACCCTTACCATCAACCAGTCAATTGTCAAGTATAGCAAAATTAAATTAAATGTAATAATTTGTTTATTTTTATAGATTTATAATTTATTATTTTTTTTGTTGAAAAATATATAACTATTTAGCCGACAATACTAACAAAAAAATGGCCACTGGTGACTTTAGTAAAACTTATACATTTAAATCATCGGATAATGTATTGGCATTTGCGAAAGCTAGAGGTTATTTAAATTTTTGATTATTAATTAATTAATTAATTAACTATTTATTATATATATATATATATATATATAATATTAAAATACATTTTTTTAAAAACTAACTTTTTATTTTTACGTTTTTTTTACAAATAAATTAGGAGTTCCCGATGATGGGGCCGCAATATATGCAGCGGCTAAACCTACGCTAGAAGTTAGCAAAAAGGGCGACCAGTTTACTATTAGGCGGGTGTTTTCGGAAGGCCGGGCACATGATATTAGCTTCGAGTTGGGCAAAGAGTTTGATGAGACCCGACCTAATGGCCAGACAGTTAAGGTGACTAACAATTTGATTAATAAAAAAAAATATTAATATATAAAATAAATATCCATAAAGTAGTAGTTGTAGTAGTAGTAGTTTATAAATTATTATATATTTTCTTTTATTATAACTAAACATTTTTAAAAATTATAATTACCGGTAATACATTTTTTTTGATAAAATAATAAATATTGCATATTATTATTATTATTATTAATAGTAGTAGTATTATTAAATATTGTTAAAATTTTACTGTATTATACAATTAGTATATATTATAATATATTTAATAGTTAAATATTTTCAATACTTTATATTTATTATTAGAGTGTAGTGGTTGCCGGTGAGGGTAAACAATTGATTCAAACACAAAAGGGAGACAAAGAGGTCAAAATTGTATACGATTTCAATGGCGATGATGTGGTCAGTACTGCTACCATCACCGGTGAAGGTGTGTCCGCTAAATGGGTTTTCTCAAGAAATCAATAAATCAAAAAAAAACATTTTTCCAACAAAATAAATAACAACTGATTTTTAATGTTTTTTGTTGTTGTTATTGAAACAATAAACTATTTGATTAAATAATAAAAATGTTTTATTTATAGACAAAATAATATTGTCTTAATTTATTATTCAAAAAAACCAACTAGCTAACTATTATATAAACTTAATAAATTAATTAGAGAAAATAATACTAGAAATTAAATATACTTTATTAATTTATAATTTATAAATATTTAAAAATGTTGTACAAATAAAACTTAATAAAAATTTATATAACTAACAATTAAAACAATTATAAAAGTAATAATTGTACATATACAATATTAATTTTTAGACATAAAAACGAGATAAAACAGTATAAAAATTTATTAATTCAAATAATAAAATTAATAATAATAATAAAATTTATTAATTAATTAAATCTGGATTTTTATAATAATTAGTAAATTTAATTTTAATAATTTTTTAAAAAAATTAGATAAATTTAATTTTAATAATTTTTTAAAAAAATTAGATAAATTTAATTTTAATAATTTTTAAAAAATTTGATAAATTTGATTGATAGTATTAAAATAATATAAAATCTATATCCATCAAATTAATTTAAGCTGATTAAAAATATATTTTAAATAAATTTTTTTTTTGGTAATTAAATAATAAAAATTATTATAAACTAGCAACTTCCTTAAATTATATTACTTTTTTAAAATCATGCTTATTTAACCTAGCTAAAAATATTTAACTATACATAAACAAATTTTAATATGTAAACAATAGTACATATTATATGTATAACATATTAACTATTGTTGCAATAAACTTAGTTAAGTTTGACTGCAATTCATATATTTAAAATAAATTTTAATAAATTATGTTATTTTTTTTAATTTTTATATTGTATATTTGTAAATAAAAAATTTAGCTATAATAACTTAAAAACTATTTATTATTAAATTAAGTAATTTTTTGCTTTATATATATATGTGTTTTTTATTAACCTTATTTACTTAAACAAATTTTTCAAATAATATAAATAATTAAAAAAAAATATTGTAAAATTAGTATTTTTATTATTGCTTGACAAAAAAGTACAATAAAAATATATTATAAAATTATTTTATAATAGTATTATTATATTAAATAATATTTATTAGATTATTATAGATATACAGAGACATGTGATTTTTTTAATTACAACAATTATTATATAATTTTTTTTAAATATAAATTATAAATGATATTTAATTTTGACTTAGTTTTTTGATAACATACATATATATATTGTATTTATTACTATAAAATTTACTATTATTGCAAAAAGTTATCATATTTTATCTGAATTTTATGTTATAAAAAAACTACAAATTGCACTAAAATGATGTTTTTTATATACAGTATAATATTATAAATAGTGGCACCAAATAAATAAAAAAAACTAAATAATAAACAATTAGTAAATTCAATATAATATAATAAAAATTAGCACCAAATAAAAAAATAATGTCTAAATCATCAATAGTGATAAATACGTGAGAAAATTAATTAATATTACAATTAATTAACCTTGATAACAGTAATTTTAACATAAAATAACATACATACAAAAAAATATACAATAGTTTTATTGTTTTTTAATATATATATATATATTTGCTTATCACACTGTAAGTAATTTGTATGCAATTAATATATATATATATATATATAAATATTTAAAAATATCAATGTTTTGCACTAAATTATTATCGCACACAACATATTAATTAATAAATAAAAATAATTAAAACAATATAATGTATTATATATTCAACTATTTTTTATATATGAATTTTTTCAATTAAAAAAATAAATAAATAAAAATAAATAATTACATTTAAGCTGTACAAAGATATCTATAGTATTATTATTATTATTATTATTATTATTATTATTATTATTATTATTATTATTATTATTATTATTATTATTATTATTATTATTATTATTATTATTATTATTATTATTATTATTATTATTATTATTATTATTATTATTATTATTATTATTATTATTATTATTATTATTATTATTATTATTATTATTATTATTATTATTATTATTATTATTATTATTAACTACTGTATATTAGTTATATTTAAAGTTGTATATAAAAAAACTTAATCTAATATTATCATTGATTTTTTTATTAGTAGTAATACAAGTAAACAATTTTCAAGTTCATTACGTACAATGTATAGTACAATATTTAGATATAATATATAATAATATAATACAATATTATTATACAGTAATAATAAAAATAATAATAATAAAATTTACTAATAAAATAATTATACAGTAGTACATATATATATATATAGTACACATACAGTATAGTATCAGTACACTATTATTTGGCACACTTTTACAAGCTATATAAACTAAGTGGAAAATTAATTTTAATATTAAAATAGTAACAATTTATATAAACTACTAAATTGTAAGTTTCAATTATTATTATTATTATTATTAATTAGGGATATATATAATAAGTTAATGAAAAGTTTATATTTTAATTATTAATATATTTTTTTTAATTTTTTTTATTTAATATTAGTTTTAACTTATAGCCTCAGTCGCTCGCACCCACTCACCCATCAACAACAAAAAAATGGCCGAAAATTTTACTAAAACTTATACATTTAAATCATCGGAAAATGTCGATGCATTTCTCAAAGAGCTTGGTAATTTTAATTATTATTTTAATTTATTATTATTCAATTAATTTTTTTAAAAGATAATTATAAGTCTCAATTTAAATTAATTGTATTTGTAAATAATTTATTTATGTAACTTATTAATTTTTTTTTTGACCTAGGTGTACCCGATGATAAAATTGCCCAATATCAATCAGCTAAGCCTAACCTAGAAATAAGCAAACAGGGAGACAACTATACAATCAAAACAGTTATGCCCGACCGTACCCATGAAATTAGCTTTGAATTGGGAAAGGAGTTTGAAGAGAAACGACCCAATGGTACTACAGTTAAGGTAACCATAAATTAATTAATTAATTATTATTTATAATTATTATTTTGTAATGTAATAATTAATTAATAGTTTTTAAAAAAAAAAATAAATTTATTAGTAGTTATTTTTATTATTATATTCAATATTATTATTATTAGAGTAGAATATCCATAATAAAAGTTATACAGTATATATACTGTATAGTAGGTTTAAGTTTCAAGTTAAGTTTAATTACAAATATTATTATTAATATATAATTAATTAATATCTTATAATTTTATACAGTTTATAATTTGCAATATAATAGTTTTAATATCAAATTTATATAATCAAAGAAAAAAATATGTTAAGACTCATGTCATAACTAATTTTAAACTATTTATTAGTTATAGAAATTATTAAATAAAAAGTTTATCCATTATATATTTTTTTACATATATAATTATAAAGTTGTTATTGTTAGTAAAATATGAAAAATGAATTATTATTTATTATATTTTTGTTTAATTTATTTGCAAAAAAAAATTTTTTTATTAAAATATTTAATTATTTTTTGTTTGTTTGTTTTTAGTCGACAGTAGTTAAAGGTGAGGGCAGACAACTGATTCAAACCCAAAAAGATGGCGATAAAGTGATTACTATTGTCCGCGACGGTAATGGACCCGAATTGATAACTACGGCCACTATCGGTTCAATTCAGGCCAAATGGGTTTACACTAAAGATGAATAAAATATTATTATTAATAATAATTAATTAATTAATTACTATTATGTTTTATGTTTTTATTTTTATATATTAAATTTAATTAGTGTTTTGAAATGTGATTTTTTTGAAATTGTTGTTTTGTTTTATTAAAAAAAATAAATAAAATCAAAATTTTCTTTTTAAAAAAAAATAATAATAAAATTAAATTAAAATAATATTTAATTTTAAACTAAATCTAAAAATACTATATCATAAACTTAATATTTAAAACTAAATATTATTATAGTATTACTGTATTTTTTATTTTATCGTTAAGTAATTTTTTTAATTATGCTAACTATTATATGATAGTATATTATATTTTATTTGAGTATCAGTATATTATTACTTAAAAATATATATAATAGTGTTTAAGTACTAATAATTTTTTATTATTTTAAATTGTTTTAATTACTCTTTAAAAATACTTATAGATATGATTAATAAAAAATTATAATTTATTTCTCCTTTATTTTGTAATGTAATTTCTAATTGTAATGATTATATTGCAAATAATTAAATAATTAAATAAACAATAATTTAAACTTGTACAGTTTAGTTATTATTTTATTATTTTATTATTTTGAATTAAAATTGAATTTAATTGAAAAATGAATTAATTTAAAATATAAATTGTTTTTGTTGTTGTGGTATTTAAGTTATAATTTATTTTTTTATATAATTTATTAATTATTTAATAAAATTACATTTTTAAAAAAAAATATATGGAAACTATTGAAAATTTTTCCAAACTATACAAACTATATAAAACAGGAGAAAATGTTGAAAAATTTCTCAATAAACTAGGTAAATTAATTAATTAATTATTATTAATTAAAATATGAATTTAAAAAAAACTAATTAAAAATCTTAATGTTATATTTTTTAAAATAAAATTATAAATTTGTTTTTATTTATTTAGTATATAATAACAACTAAAAAACAATTAAATCCTAGAAATGTGCTAAAACTAAAAATTTTATTTTAATATATATATATATATATCAAATAAAATAATACTGTCAACAAATACTATTGAGTTATTAATAGAAATATAATAATTAAAAAAAATTATTTAAATTAAAAATATAGACAATTTATGTTTATGTTTGTGTTACAAAAAACGCGGACTCTTGTATTAAATATTGCCATATCTTTAGATCTATAAAAATATTCTTAAAAACATTAATTAATATTAATAAAATAAAATAAACTAAATATTTCCCCAAAAATAACAATTATTTATTATTAACAATAACAAATCTTAAATTACAATTAAATATAAACTCTATTAACTGATTAAAACATTGAAACCCATACTAATGACAATAAGTCTTAATATTACAATTACTTTTATAATAAAATATACAATAATAAAAATATATATGTTGTACATACCATGCGTACAACATTTACAATTGTATTAAAATAATAAATAATATTACAAATAATTATAAAATATAAATTGCGTAACATTTGTATTATCATTATTATTATGTATTAGTTATCATAATAATATACAGTATATACAGTATATATATAATTAATTAGGAGTACCCGCTGAACGTATAGGCATGTTTATTGAGGCTAAGCCACTGCTAATGGTAAGCAAACAGGACTACAAGTGGACTATCAAAACATATTTAGCTGACCGGACACATGAAATACAGTTTGAATTGGGAAAACAGTTTCAAGTCAACCGACCCAATGGTACTATAGTTAAAGTATTGATCAAAAAATATTATCTATTTATTATATTATATATACAAAAAAATAAAACAAAATAATTTTTAATTATTTAGTACAATAACTATTAATACATACAACTAGCTGTAACTATATTTTAAAACAAAATTAAACAATTTACAAACTTTTTTTTAATAATTATAAATTTACAGTTTTTTTTAATTTTTATTTTTTAAAGTAATTGTTTGTTTGTTTGATAACAACAATAATATTTGATTGATAATCATATCGTATATAATATTTTTAAAAAAAATTAATTAATAATAATTTTATTTGAAAATTACAAGTATTTATGAATTCATAGATTGAAACAATTAAAAACTTTGGTTATAATTATAATGTTATAGTTTTGTTGTTAAAATATTAAACATATTATTGTATATACAGTATAATACCTTAATATAGTATATATTTAAATATATGATACATTAGATTATTTATTTTAATTAATTTTATTTAAGTATGTTATTAGGTTTCGTTTAATTTTATTTATAAGTAATCAGTTTATATATTTATTATACTGTATATACAGTAACTATCATATATATATAATAGTAGATTATAATTGATATAAAATTTTTAAAAATTTATTAACTAATATAGTTTTATAATTTATTATTAAAAAATTTATAGTCAACTATTGTTAGCGGCACCGGTAGACAACTGATCCAAACACAGATTGACGGCTCAATGGAGATGACAATTGTACGCGACTTTAACGGTCCCGATCTGGTGACCACTGCTACCGTCGGCGACACAGTTCAGGCCAAATGGTTTTATACGGAAAATTTTGTTTTAGATTTTCATAATGATTGAGATCAGTAGTAATAGACAAATTGATTATCAAAATAATATATAATATAAATATTATTAATAAACTATAATATAACTAAATGTTTAAATTCAACAAAAATAAAATAAATAAATTTAAAGCACATTTAAGTACAAAATTACATAATACTATAATAATAATAATTAAAAATACAGTATATACACGAAAAAACATAATATTAATCAGTATTAATTTTTTATAATTATTATGCAATATTTTTGCAATGTTTTTTTTGTGAATAAAATTTTAAGTTTAATTTTTATTATTTTTATGATTTCAAAATAATAGGATATTAGTATCATTAGTATAATAATTATAATAATTATTTGTTTTTTTGTATTAAAAATATTTTAATTATGACTCATAGTTACTAATAAAATAATTAATAATTATAGGCTATACAATATTAATTTTTTTAATACTAATAATATTATTTATTTATAGTATTTATTAATAGTTTTTTTTTAAAAAAATAATTAATTAAATTATTTGTTGCACTAAACTATTAAAAATATAAATATATTGTATTACATATAAAAATGAACTAAACTTGTAATAATTAATACTTTGATACCTATTATTATGATATTATAGTTTGTTTTTATTTTTATTATTACATATTTTAATATATATATATATATAGATATCAATTAAAACTAATAATTAATACTATTATATTCAATAACAAAATTTTTATTTTTTGATTAACTATGTTAACATAACATTAAAAATAATTTCCATTTAATATTAATTACAAACAATAACTAGTATTATATTTATTTTTTTAAAAAAACGAAATTCATTGAGTATATGAAAACAATAACTTTTATTTATAAAAATAATAAATATAATCATATCTTATAATATATTAGATATCACTGCATACAAGTAATTTTATTATACCCAATAAAATCTATATAAAGTAGAAAACAAAATTAAAATTGTTGTGTAAATTATTTTTATAATAGTTTTGAAAATAAAAAAAAACACAATTTTCTATTAACAACTAACAAATCAATAAATTGTAAGTTATTTTACTTAAATTATTAGTATTAATAATTATTGTTTTTTTTTGTTCAAACATTATTTTAATAATATTTTAATATCTTTATAAAATTAAAATAAATTATATAATTTTTTTTTTAATAAAGTAGATAATGGCTGAAAATTTTACCAGATCATATACTTATAAATCATCGGAAAATGTCGAGGAATTTCTCAAAGTACTCGGTTAGTAATTTATTTACATTTTTTTAAAAAAATAAATAATTAATTATAATTAAAAATTAATAAATTTTAAAAAATCAAATAATACTTGTCTATCTAAATGTTTCTAAAAAAATTATTATAATATTATAATTAATTATATAAAATAATAATAATAATAATAAATTATTCTAATAATATTATTACTAGTAATAATATTAATAGCATTAACAATATAATACTGAATAATTAAATGTTTTAAATTTTCAATTATATTATAATTACTTAAAGTTATATACATGTATATAAATATATAGTATATTTAATTATATGTACAGTAATTCATAATAATATAATTGTTATTAATTATTATTTTAATTATATATTAAACTTTTAGGAGTTCCCGATGACAAGATAGCCCAGTGGTCCAAAGTTCAGCCAAACGGTGAGATTAGCAAACAGGGAGACAAGTGGACCATCAAAACAATTATGGCCGACAAAACACATGAAATTAACTTTGAATTGGGCAAAGAGTTTGATGAGACACAACCCGACGGCACCAAAGTTAAGGTAAAAATTAATAATAAATACAAAAAATACAAATATATCTAAAAAAATGTTTGCTTCAAACAAATTTTTTTTTAAGTTATTGAATTTGCAATTAACTATAAAATAACTATTTAAAAAAAAAATAATTATTGTTATTATTAGAAAAATTAATAATATTTACAACAAACTGTATAATTGTTTGTTATTTTTTTTATTTAACAAAAAAACAATTTCAATAGTTTAGCAAAGATATTAATAATTATAGTAATATATATTTTTAAAAATCTGCTCAAATAAAATATACAAAAAAAATAATTATAATATTTCACACACTGAGACCTACTAATTAAATATAAAAATAATTAATTTTTATAAAGTATTATAATTGAATATAAATTAAATAATTACAGTTTACTATTATAGAAATAGTTATATGACTTATAATTTTTTAATTAATAATATTTATTTATTAATATTTTCACTGAATATTATAGACAACTATAGTTAAAGGCGAAGATAAACAACTAATTCAAACGCAAACTGACGGCAAAATTGAGGTCAAAATTGTTCGCGACTTCAACGGTCCCGAAGTGGTCACTACGGCTACCGTCGGCTCAGTTAAGGCCAAATGGGTTTATACTAAAAACGCATAAATTTCTAACAAATTTTTTTTTTTGAAAAAATAACTAATTATACAAAAAATTGTTATTTAATTTATATACATAAAAATCAATAAATTATTATTTTTTGAAAATAATAAAAATTTTTTAAAAGTTATAAATTTATTATTCAATTCTCACTTAAAAAACAATTAATTTGATTTATATATATAGAGTGTTAGTATAGTTTGAATAGATATCATAAACACTATTATTAATGTCTAAATTAATAGCAATTAGTTTATTGGTATTTATTAATAATAATTTCTAAACAATTATTATACAATTATTATACTTTACTATAAGTAGCAATAAAATAGTATTTTGTGATATATTTTTAAAATTATTTAATTAAAATCTTGATGATTACGTTTAGATTATTAATATTAATTGAATTGTTTTTATAAATATTATTATACAATATTGTAATTTAATTTAAATAATTTATAAAGTAAATATATTAAAGCATAAATAGAAAATTGTTTAATTAAAAAAATTATTATTATTTATTAATAACACAATATATGTTTAAAATGTTGTTGTTTACAAAACTTATCCAGATAATTTAATTGTTTTTTAAACAATATATAAATAAATTTAAAATGTATTGTTATATTTAATTATTATTATTATCATTTATAAAGTACAATATAAATATATATATATATTATAATAAAATAGTATTTACTAATAAATATATCTAACTATTATTATATAAAATTTTTAACTACACTATAAACTTTTATAACTTTATATTTAGGAAATAAACTGATTTTTATGATTTAATTATTTTTAATTGAAAAAAGCTATTAATATTTTTACAGTTTTATAAAATAATTTATTATTAGTTTTTGTTTAATATTTGTTTTTTTAAATAACATATAAATATTATTGTTAGTATTTTTATTAAATGGATATATTTTTTTAATATTAATAATATATTATTTATTGTAAGTTTTTAAATAATTAATTAAATTATATTTTTTCACTAAACTATTAAAAATAAAAATATATTGTATTACATATAAAAATGAACTAAACTTATAATAATTAATACTTTGATACTTATTATTATTATTACTATTTTTTTAAATTTTTATTATTACTTATTTTAATATAAATATATAGATATCAATTAAAATCAATGTTTAATTAAAACTAATAATCAATACTAATATATTCAATGACAAAATTATTATTTTTTTTATTAAAATGACATTAAAAACAATTTCCATTAAAAATAATTACAAACAATAACTAGTATATTATATTGTAGCGGACAGATATGCGTGATGTTATTATTTGCAGTTTAATAGTTACAATAATTATAAATTAAGTCATTTATAGTATAGACGAAAATGATTTGATATGCTATACTAATAAATTAGACTAAATGTTACAATATATAAAATTTATCCTTTTCATAAGTAATATCGCAAGATATAAATATCGAATGCGTAACAATTGTCTTAACGATTGTCGAATTGAGTTGTTGACCAGTGGACGGTGATCGGCTGGTCAATCGATAATCGGGTGAAAACGTTAGTAAAATGAAAAAAACGTTTTACAAAAATAATCGTTTTATTTATTAATTCAAGATTCACTTCTTTCTAGCTATACGTTAGGATATCGACTAATCGAAGGCCGGCAAACATTGCGCACCTATAGGTGCTTTTTAAGCCGTGTGGTGTCGCCTGTCGACACAATTTATTATTTAACTATAACTAACGTCATATATAATTTAATTAAAAATTGGCTCACATGGAATATGAAAAAAAAAATAAAATTTATAGTATTACAAATGTAACGCAAATGCCGATAACACGGAGATCTGCGTCAAACCAATACAATTGCCGATATCGTGTCATTGATACAGCCGTTACCGATGCTATCACTATAGTTACAACAATTAAATCTGTCGCTCCGGTTGTCTCAACTTTGTTCATTCAGAGTTGTGATCTCTACCGAACTGTTTTAGCCAACTGTCAACAAAAATATAAAGTCACTGTTTTCTACTATACTATCTTCGCCGACAACCAACCAATCCAACCGTTTCAATATTTATTCATTAAAACCCCCAATTCATTGAGGAATTCGTAAAGCAATAACTTTTATTTATGAAAATAATTAAAAATATTTTAATTACTTATAATATATTAGATATCATGCTTATAAGTAATTTTTTGTTATAAGCTATATAAAGTATTTAAAAAAAATCAAAAATTGTTGTGTAAATTATTTTTATAATAGTTTTTTCTTTGAAAATAAAAAACACAATTTTCTATTAACAACTATCATATCGATAAATTGTAAGTTTTTTTTGTACAAACATTATTTTATAAATAATATTTTTTTTAATATTATTATATAATTTTTTTATTAAAAAAAAATAAACTAGATAATGTCTGAAAATTTTACCAGTTCATATACTTATAAATCATCGGAAAATGTGGAGGAATTTTTCAAACTATTCGGTTAGTAATTTATTTACATTTTTCAACAAAAATAATAAATAATTAATTAATCTATAATTAAAAATTAATAAATTAAAAATAAAATAAAATAATATTTGATTTTATTTGTTTGTTATATATATACATATTTGTTACATATTATAATTAATTATAGATAAAATAATAATAATAAATTATTCTAATAGTATTATTACTATAGTAATAATATTAATAGTTTTAATAATAACTAAATTTTTTTTATTTTCAATTATCTTATAATTACTTATATAGTTATATACGTGTATATATATATATATATATAGTATATTAAATCTATGCGCAGTCATATCATAATAATATAATTGTTATTAATTATTGTTTAATTTTTTTCTATAATTATATATATATATATATATATATAATTAAATAATAAACTTTTAGGAGCTACCGATGACACGTTAGCCGAGTGGTGCAAATATCAGCCAAACTTTGAGATTAGCAAACAGGGAGACAAGTGGACCATCAAAACAATTATGGCCGACCATACAGACGAAATTAACTTTGAATTGGGCAAACAGTTTGATGAGACACTACCCGACGGCATCAAAGTTAAGGTAAAAATTAATATTATATTAAAATATATATATATATATATATAATTCTCAGAAAAAAAATATTTGCTTCAAACAAACTTTTTTTCCAGTTATTGAATTTGCAATTAACTATAGAATAACTATTTTTTAAAAAAAATATATAATAATTATTATTATTATTAGTAAAATTAGTAATATTTACAACAAACTGTATAATTGTTTGTTATTTTATTTTATTTAACAAACAAACAATTGCAGTAGTTTAGCAAAGATATTAATAATTATAGAAATATATATATTTTTAAATCTGTTCAAATAATATATATATAATTTTTTTTATAAATTATTATAATTGAATATAAATTAAATAATTACAGTTTACTATTTTAGAAATGGTTATATGACTTAATTTTTTTTAATTAAAAAATATTTACTGCAATATTGTAGACAACTATAGTTAAAGGCGAAGGTAGACAACTAATTCAAACGCAAACTGATGGCAAAATTGAGGTTAAAATTGTACGCGACTTCAACGGTCCCGAAGCGGTCAATACGGCTACCGTCGGCTCAGTTCAGGCCAAATGGTTTTATACTAAAAATGCGTAAATTTTTTCAAATTTTTTTTTGAAAAAATAACTAATTATACAAAAAAAATGTTATTTACATAAGAATCAATAAATTATTATTTTTTTGAAAATAATAAAAATTTTAAAAGTTATAAATTTATTATTCAATTCTCACTTAAAAAACAATTAATTTGATTTAAATATAGAATGTTAGTATAGTTTGAATAGATATGATAAACATTATTATTAATGTTTAAAATTAATAGCAATTAGTTTATTGGTATTTAATAATAATATTAATTTCAAAACAATTATTATTTACTTTACACAGTAGTAATAAAATAGTATTTTGTGATATATTTTTAAAATTATTTAATTAAAGTCTTGATAGTTAAGTTTAGATTATTAATATTAATTGAATTATTTTATAAATATTATTATACAATTTTATATTTAATAATTATAATGCTATAAAGTAAATATATTGAAGTATAAATAGAAAATAGTTTATTTAAAAAAATAATATTTTTATTGTTTATTAATCACACAATATATGTTTAAAAATTTTTTGTTTACAAAACTTACCCAGATAATTTAATTGTTTTTTAAAACAACATATATAAATACATTTAAAATGTATTGTTATTTTTAATTATTATTATTGTTATCATTTATAAAGTACAGTATATATATTATGATATAATAGTATTTACTAATAAATATATCTAACTATAATATAAAATTTTTAACTAAACTATAAGCTTTATATTTATTAAATAAACTTATTTTTAATTGGAAAAAAACTATTAATATTATTACATTTTTATTAAATAATTTATTATTTGTTTTTGTTTAAATTTTTTTTAAAAATAACATATAAATGTTATTGTTAGTATTTTTATTAAATAGTAATATATTTTTTATATTAATTGTAAACAATTATTTTTAGTTTACATAAAATAAATAAATACTTCACTAAAGTGTTGCTTAAATACAAGTAATTGTTATCATTTAATAAATCTTAATATATATATATATTTTTGTATTTTTGTAATACAGTTTAGTTTAGCAAAAGAGATTTAAGAACCATTTTTAAGTTATTATTACAATATTTTTTAAGTAAATTATTTTTTTTTTAAATGTAATCATAACTTATAAATAAAAATAATGTAGTTTTTTAATTTTATAATTTTTATGAACTAAACTTGTAATAATAAATACTTTGATTCCTATTAATATTATTATAAGTTTTTATTTTTATTATTACATATTTTAATATATATATATAAATGACAAATCAATGTTTTATTATAATTAATACTATTATTTTCAATAACAAATTTTTATTACAGCATTAAAAATAATTTTCATTTAATAATTACAAACAATAACTAGTATTATATTTATTCAAAAAAAAACGCTATTCATTGAATATATAAAAACAATAAATTTTATTTATAATAATAATTAATATTATCTAAAGCATCAAGCATACAAGTAATTTTATTATAGGCCAAAAAAAAATCTATATAAAGTATAAAACAAAATTAAAATTGTTGTGTAAATTATTTTATTATTTTTCTAATACTTTTGAAAATATAAAACATTATTTTTTTCAATTAACAACTATCAAATTAATAAATTATTATATTACTTAAACTAATAGTATTAGTAATTTTTATTTTTTGTTCAAACATTATTTTATAAATAATATTTTTTTTTAAATTAAAATAAATTATATAATTTTTTAAAAAAAAAATAATCTAGATAATGTCAGAAAATTTTACCAGATCATATACTTATAAATCATCGGAATATGTGGAGGAATTTCTCAAAGCAATCGGTTAGTAATTTATTTAAATTTTTCAAAAATAATTAATTAATTATAATTAAAAAAAATCAATAAATTTAAATAATAAAATAATACTTGTTTTTATATGTTTGTTATATAGATATTTGTTATATTATACTTAATTATAGAAAAAAAACAATATTAAATTATTCTAATAGTATTATTACTATTAATAGTAGTAACAATAATTAAAATTTTTAATTTTCAATTATCTTATAATTATTTAAAGTTATATAAATGTATATATATATATATATATAAATAAATATATATTACAGTATATTAAATCTATGTACAGTAAATCATAACAATATAATTGCTATTAATTATTATTAAAATTTTTTCTATATTATTATATTATATAAATATTAAACTTTTAGGAGTTCCCGATGACGAGATAGTCCAGTGGTCCAAAGTTAAGCCAAACGGTGAGATTAGCAAACAGGGAGACAAGTGGACCATCAAAACAATTATGGCCGACAAAACATATGAGATTAACTTTGAATTGGGCAAAGAGTTTGATGAGACACAACCCGACGGCACCAAAGTTAAGGTAAAAATTAATAATATAATATAATTTAAATTTAAATATATATATATATATATACTGAATATTATCTATAATATCTCCGGAAAAAATGTTTGCTTCAAACTAACTTTTTTCACAGTTATTGAATTTTAAATTAACTATAAAATAATAAATATAATTAGTATTTACAACAAACTGTATAATTGTTTGTTATTTTTTTTTTTTTAATTTAACAAAAAACAATTGCAGTAGTTTAACAAAGATATCAATTTAAATCAAATAAAATATACAAAAAATATATAAAATATTTGCCATACTAACGCCAACTAATTAAATTCATTATAAATTATTATAATTGAATATAAATTAAATAATTGCAGTTTACTATTTCATAGAAATAGTTATATGACTTATAATTTTTTAATAAACAATATTTATTAATATATTTTCACTGAATATTGTAGACAACTATAGTTAAAGGCGAAGATAAACAACTAATTCAAACGCAAACTAACGGCAAAATTGAAGTTAAAACTGTGCGCGACTTCAACGGTCCCGAAGTGGTCACTACGGCTACCGTCGGCTCAGTTAAGGCCAAATGGGTTTATACTAAAAACGCATAAATTTCTCAAATTTTTTTTTTGAAAAACTAACTAATTATACAAAAATAAAATTATTATTTAATTATTATTTTTTTTGAAAAAATGTCGTTTTAAATTAATTGAATTTTTTTAATAAATATTATTATTCTATATTGTATTTATATAAAGTAAATATATTGTAGCATAAATAGAAAATTATTTTTTTTTAAATATTATTATTATTATTTATTTATAGCCCGCTTGGGGTACATGTATTCAATATATTTGCAGTTTAAACAGTAAATGTTTATACCAATGAAAAAGCAATTTGTAATACATTTTAGTTTATATTTTATGACAAACATTAATTTAATTATTAATTATTTAGATATATATTATAAGTTTAATTTAGTATAATATGCAGCGCATTGCCATCTATTACAATATAGTATAGTATACAATACCTTATAGTAAACTAACCCGAAAAAAATATAATCAATAATACGGTATATATATATAACAAACTGTAATTTTTTATTTAGTATAAAATATATTGAAATTTTTAATAAATTTATTAGAAATTTTATTTAGTATACAAAGATTCAACAATCTTTAATTTATTATTATTAAAATATTTTTTAAAGTAAATTTATAAATAAAATTAATGTAGTTTTTTTTAATTATATAATTTTTATATGTTTAAATTAAAACATTACGTTTTTTAAACTGTTAGTTTGTATCACTAATGAAAAATTATTAATACTTATTTTTAAAATAAATATTCATTTTAAGTTAAAAAAATAAAAACAAAATAATATATAACCAGTTGAGAATGCTAGAAAGCATTTCCACACGAATTCCTAATCATAATTAAAAATTAAATTCACTATGATAAAATAAAATCAACTTTAGTTATGTAGGTTATCAAACGATTTAGTATGACAAAATAAACAACTACAGTCATTTGGAGTATCAAATGATTCAGTATTACAAAATAAACTATTTTCCTAAAAAATAAACTTAAAAACGAAAAAAATCAAAAAATATTCAAAAAAAATCAAAAAATACTCAAAAAAATCAAAAAATATTCAAAAAAATCAAAAAATATTCAAAAAAAATCAAAAAATATTCAAAAAAAAAATCAAAAAAAAATTTTAAAAAAAATTCAAAATTTTTTTAATTAATTTTTGGACACCATTTTCTTCAATTTCCTAAAAAATAAACTTAAATAAGAAAAAAAAGCAAAAAAAAAAAAATCAAAAAAAAAATTTGTAGCGGATTCGAACCTATGTCCTCGTGGGACAGACAGACCGACAGACAGACAGACAGACAGACCGACAGACAGACAGACTTATAGAATGCATATACGTATTCCTTTCAGGAATTCGTGAAAATTTATGAATAAAAAAAGATTAAAAAAATGTATTTTATATTATAATTATATTTTTACAATTTACATATTGTTTTGTTAATTATAGATTTTTATTATATAATACTGATCTATTTGTTTCAATAATTATTCAAATATTATTTTTAATAAAAAAAACATATGGACTGTCAATAAAACTTGTTAAAATAATTTTTGCTACCATTTTTAAAAATAATAAATACTAATTAATTACATTAGTTATTATTATTATTATTAATCATTATTTAAAATTGTTATCAAATTAAATTCAAACAATGTATATTCAATTAAATACCTTAATATACATAGCAATAGTTGCCATTATTGTATACATAATTAAATTCTATATGAGCCTGGCCAATTATCCTCCAGGTCCACTACCATTGCCATTGTTGGGAAATTTTTCAAGTAAAATCTATTATCATTATTATTATTATTATTATTATATATAAATAATTTTGATTTTAAAATATAATAATAATAGTTACAAAAAAAATACTGATACTTATTATTATAAATTCAAGTTTATAGTAAACGTAACAATGGGCTCATGGAGTTACGTAAACTATACAAACAGTACGGACCGGTTATGACAGTATGGGTCGGACCGTTTCCTATTGTTATTATATCAGATTATACAGTTAGTAAACTGGCATTCAAGCATACCCAAATGGCCAATAGGCCATTAGTTGAAATTAGTAAGTACTGTATAATTATATACAGTATATATAAAATGAGATGGATAAAAATTATTAAAACAATTAAAAAAATTTTAAAAAAATAATGTTAATAACAATAATTATTAATAATTAAGATAAATATGGTATAATGGCATCAGATTGGGGTCCGGAGCTGACTATTAAGCGAAAAATTACTATATCGGCAATAAGGTATTGACTGATAAATTATATATATTTTTTTGGTGATTATATTGATTGATTGAATTTATTAATTTATTTATGTTTTTATATAAAAAAATTTATGTGTTTATAAATAACACATATAAAAAACAATTATTTTTTAGAAAATATATGACTACCGATCATCTAAACCATACAATTGATAGATATTTGCGTCAAATGTGGTCAGAAATGTTAGCCGATTCGGTGGATAAACAAAACAATCAATCGATAAGTGTTGACAAATATTTCGATAATTTTATGATTAATTTTATGTCACGAGTTGTCTTCTATAACGAGTATTGATTGTAAACTTTTTTTTTCATTATTATAAAAAATATTAATAATAATAGCTAAACAAAATAGTAATTAAAAAAAATAGTTTTAATTATATATATATATATATATATAATTTTAGGACATATAAGGATCGATTTGAATCGTTAAAGTCGGCAATGCATTACATATCAATCGATTTGTTCAACGATATCAATCATTATGTTTATGCGGCAAAATTGATACCCGGTTTGCGGTACATAGTGGCCAACCCGTTGATCAAATATAATACACATTTTGATGAAATAAAACAGTATTTGTACGATGTTTTCAAACTGCGCGACAATAACACCGTCGACAATATCGGTGACGACATGTCGACCGGCGCCGACTTATTTCATATGATATTTGAGACAAAACGTCATATGGAAACCAAAAACGGCGGCCAATTGCTGATCAATGATGAAGGACTGGCCGTATCTATAATCGAAGTATTTCAGGGTTTGTCCACAAAAAAAAATTACTAATATTTTTGTTGTTGGTGTTAGTGGTGATGGTTGTGGTGGTGGGTGGGGGTTGGGATAGCAATGGGTTACATAATTAACGTGTTTTCTTTTAGGTAGCATTGAGACAATGTACCAGACATTTATTTGGTTGATCCTAATGTTGGCCTATTTTGGTGATGAACAACAAAAACTAAGGGACGAAATCAACGAAGTTTTAGGCACCGATAGTGTAGTGCAGGTAACGGCCGACAATGCCCAGCGCCTACACTATCTCCAGGCATTTATTACGGAAACCATGCGCTACCGTACGCTGGCATTTTTCGGACTACCCCATCGGTCTACTGGGTCTACAACAATAATTGGTTAGTATTTTGGTTACTTTTATTTATAGGGATAGAGGGAGGAGGGGTTGTCAGCTGAATAGTTAATTGGTGTATGCGTCTAATAATAATCAGGTGCCAGTGTGGTGGGGTTAGGTTAGGGGATGGTATGTAATTTGTGATAAAACTAGTACTGATAACTATACTTTAAAAATGGGTGGCATAATTTTTATTAAAAAAAATATATTATTTAATTTTGATTATGTTCATTAAGTTATATAATTTATACAATAGTTTTCATAATTAATAATATTGTATATACAGTTAGTTAATTAGATTCAATTTTTTTAATTAAAAAATATAAATAAATATAATATTAACCAGTTATATATAAATGATTGTAACTAAATTATTTGAAATTTTATTTTTAAATTTTAAATTCAATTTTGAATTATTATTTACTTAAAAATAGAAAGTTTCAAATTTATATATATATATATACAATATAATAAAAATAATAATAAAATTAAACACTAGATTAAAAATATTTAAAATAAATAATTATTAACTAATAATTTCTATTATAATAATTAAAAAAACTCTACAAAATAATAATAGACGGCAAATACAAAATCCCGGTCAACTGTTTTATTGCTACCGACACTGAATACATAATGCATGATCCCGTTAATTGGCCCGAACCCGATAAATTTAACCCTGGTCGATTTATCAATCGGCATACTGGTCACTATGAATTGCTAGCCAGTCACGCATGGATGCCCTATGGTGTCGGTGCTCGACAGTGTATCGGCAAATGTTTGTCCATAAGTAATCTATTGGTAATTTTGGCCAGATTTTTACAACTAACCCGCAATTATCGCATACGATTGGATAGTAGACATGAATTCACTGATGATATACTTAAACCGCACCAAACAAATTCATTTATATTTCAAATGCCAGATAAATATCGTATCTATTTTGAAGCTAATTGATAGTTATAAATGATATAAATAATATTAGTTTTTAAAAATATTATAAAATTAAAAAAATAAATAATTAACAAAATATAAACAATAATATAGTAAATTTTTTATTTATGTATATATATATTTTTGAAAATAGTTTTTCAAAAAAAAAATTATTGTATAATAAAAAATTAAAAATTTTATTCAGCAACATTTAATGACATTATTTAAATGTAAACTTATTTATATGTTTTCGATTGTTAATATATGTTAATTTTTTTATAATTAAAATAAATAAATAATTAATCATAAATAAAATAAATGTTTTGTTTATTGTTATTATTTTATATTATTAGAGAGAAAGAGAGAGAGATGACAATTAATATATAAATAATAATGTTTATTAATAATGTTTAATAATTAATAATAATTATAAGATAAACATTGTATACTTATATCAGCTAATAGCCCGGAGCTGACTATTATGCGAAAAATTAGTTTATTAAATTGAATTATTACTAATTTTATTTTGTATACTAAAAGATAAATTTACTTTTCTATGTTAGAAGTATCTCAAAAGTTTCACAAAATAAAACAAACAAAAAAATTATTTATTGAATTTTTTTCTCAGTAAAATTCTGTAACTTTTTTTAAAAAAATAAACTAAAATCAATACAAATGTGTATTTTATTTGATCTTTTGATTTAAACCAAAAAGCACTCAAAAATACAGAGAGAAGAGAGAGAGAGAGAGAGAGAGAGAGAGAGAGAGAGAGAGAGAGAGAGAGAGAGATAGAAGTGAAAGTTATTGACCGAAAGTTCAAATTTATAGTTTAAAACACAGGGTTTGAAATCTATACTTAAACTTATAGATTATATTTGTATAAATAAATTGATGTAAAAAAATTTATATACAGTACAGATAAAAATTGCTTATATTTTAAAATTTAACAATATATATATATATATATTCAATATATCACTTAATGTAAAAATAATTTTTTTTAAGAAAGAGTTTATTTGCTAACATATATATATATATATATATATATATATATATATATATATATACTGATATACTGTATATATAAAAGTAAATTAATTTAATTGCAAATAAATTGTATATTTATATAAATAATATTTTAATTTTAAAATTTTTGTTTATTTAGAAATATTTGCAACAAAAAAACTACTGTGAATTTTTATATTAACCTTGCGCAATCTTTTTATAATTTATATAATCTATATAATTATATTATAAATGTATAATTTAGAAATATTAAAATAAATTTATTTAATATATATTATGCTTACGTAGATAATCACAAAATTATATTAAACAATTATTGAAGTAATTTTATTTTTTTCTATTGAAGTAATTATTAATACATTAATCATATAATATTTTGTTATAGGACTGCGCATAACAAAAAAACTATTATTAAATAATTATTTTTTAAACAATAAATTAAAAAATAATTCCTTAATGTATTAGTTTTTAATTTATTGTTTTTTAAAAATATATCTATGTATAAATTTTATTGGTTTGTTTTTTTTGTTTTTTATATTTTGTATTATATAAAAAAATTATTATAATTATACAAAGATTTTATGTAAAATATTATTTTTAATAAAAAATATTTTTTTATAATGAAAATAAACAAATTATTTAATTTTGTTATCAATATTACAATTATATTTTTGTTGATATTTAAATTTACAAACAGGTATTTATTATTATTATTTTGTGAAATAATTATTTTTAATTATTTTTTTGATCATTAATTCTATTTAATTATATAATAAAAAAATTAATACAAAAAAAAATTATTTCACAATTCAAGTCAATCGTTGGCCGATAATGACGATGAAAACGACTGGTGTTTTAAACCTAACGGTACGGACTGTCAATGGTATCGCCAGTGTCTAGAGCAGAGACATCCCTGTGCTGGTAGTAATCATGGCTATGCCATAGAGTTTGCCGACTATTATTGCCGACAATTTCATACGGTTTATCACTTATACTCGGAAAGTGGTCAACAATGGGCCGATACTGTACGCAAATGTCTACAGGTTAGTCTAGTACCGGTGCTGATGCTGCTCAGGGATGCTGTCAACCATACTGCCAACAATTGTGCCCATATTAGACGTATCGGTTTCGATAGCCATATACCATGTTATACTGATGAAAATTTTGTAGCATGCACATTTTGTCAAATTGGCTACGGTGATTGGCTATTAACTAGTTGGGCATTGAGATCAATGTTACTGGATGATATTCTAGAATTTATCCTAACTGGCTTCCAGGTTATGTTGATTTGTTTGAAAAATTATCTAGATAATTTTTTTCTAAATGATTTTAAAATATTTAATAATATTAGCCAGCTAATAGCGTCTATATGTTTGCAAATTTCATCGTTTATTTTTTAAAAATAATTTGTTTTTTGTTGATTTGTATTTATTAATAATTTATTTTTATTATTAATGTATTATTTTATTAATTTTTATCATGATTTTTATGTGTAAACAATTTAAATGTTTTTATAATAAAAAAAATTTAAGATAATATAACTATTTGTGTGATAATACCTGTATATATATATATATATTAATTAACATATCAATCAAATAAAATAACATTCAATAATAATAATTATTTCAAATTATAGTAAAATTATTATTAATTATTATTATAATAAAATATAATAACGATTTGTTGATCTAACTATTACCCCTCAACCCACCCCCGCTGATAGATAAGCACAGTATAAGTTTAAAACTTTAGTTTAGTTTAGCAACTATCAGATGACACTACTATTAGAAAAATTAAAATATTTTTGTAAAATAAAACTAATTAAATAAAATAAAATAACTTTAATTTTGTTGTTGTTTATTAACATTGCTACTTACATTGATAACATTAACAGTTAATTAATAATAATATAATTAAAAAAAATTATATATAAATATATAAATATAAAATTATTAAATTTAATTGACAATAAAAAATACTAATAAAATAATGTAAAAAATAATTAGATTAAAAAACACTATTATTAAAAAATAATAACTTTTTGTTTGTTTGTATTTTCATTATATTTTAAATATTTAAAAAATTGTATAATTAAAATAAAAATTTAATTTAACTTCATAAAAAATATTACTAATATGTAAATAATTTATTAGCATTTTTTAATTATTTGAAAATATTTAATTCAAATAATATTTTATGTGAAAAATTATAGTTTATAGCAAATAAAATAATACAAAATTAAGTGTTTAGTTAAATTAATAATGTTTATTTTATAATATAAATATTTTTATTTAACAAATTGTAAATATAAACTTATTTAACAAATATGCGTTTTTAAATTTTTTCAAATAATAATTTATTTTTAGAAATTAAGTTATATTATATATTATATATTTTATATTTAAATTTATTATTAAATTTTACTAGTTAATTTATTATACTAATTATTTTAAATATTATAGATTATTTTAATTATCTGTATTGTTTGTATACAATTGATCTATTCAAATTTAAATAATATATATACATGTATATATATATATACTATTTGTTATTGTTAGATTAATAATTGAAAATTATTTTGAAATTCATAATATTATTATTTTATATTATAAATTAAAATTGAAATTTTAATTGATTTGATGTCTAAATGTTATTAAAATAAAACTTGTTATGTTGTATGGATTGACTACTGAATTCAATTTTAATAGTATTTATACAAAACACACAAAAAAAACTAATTTTATCAAAATTGTTTACATGTTTTTTTTATTATAAATAAAAAAAGTAAACTATATTTAAAAAACATTATATTCAAACAAATAAAATCTCTTAACGTGATTACTGATAAAATAAAATACACTGTATTTACTATTTTTTTTAATACATCACTTGTAAATTATAAATATATATAATAAAAATTATAATTATATTTAATACATAAGTTTCTATACATACAGTATATATACATTAAATAAAAAGTCTATTTTCAATGATAATAGAGATGAATGAAATACAAAAAAAAATCTAAAGCATAAAAATAATAGGAAAATAACTTTATTTTTCTGTATATAAAAAAAATATAGAAAATCTTTTAAACATTTTAATTGTCTAATCCTATTGAATGACTGACTGACTGAATGAATCATTTATTCAAAATCATTCAAAAAAAACTAACAATTTTTTTCTCTACTCTACTCTATTGTGTAAATAGTTTTTTTTTCACTGAAAACAAACTGATTAAAACTGACTAAAAATATTTATATATATTTTTTGGTTAAACAATTCAGTAGTAGTAGTAGTAGTAGTAATGGTAAAAGAATACCGATTACAATATGCCTGTCCTCTAACTTACAGTACAATACATGCAAACTGTCTGTCTATCTATCTGTCCCTTACTCTAACAGTTCTCTCTTTCTTTCTCTCTCTCTCTCTCTCTCTCTCTCTCTCTCTAAACAATAACTTTGTGTGTGTTTGAGATTCATTTTATCCAAACCCTTATATATAGATATATTCTGTATATATATATATATATATATATATGGAGATGACTTTCAGCCAAAATATTTAAAATTTTAACAAAAAAAATAAAAGAGTTTTCTTTGAATATAAACGAAAAAAGAAAACTAAAATTCAAACTCTCTCTCTCTCTCTCTCTCTCTCTCTCTCTCTCTCTCTCTCTCTCTCTCTCTCTCTCTCTCTCTCTCTATTGTCGCACACAATGAATGAATGAATGACTTATTATCATTTGATACAACAATCAGGGATACAAAAAAAATAAAAGGGATATAAACTCAATGAGAGAGACGATATGTACAGTATATAAACTCAGTATATAAAGTATTTATAGAGCACTAGTAGTTAAACAGGGGGTGACGGGGAGGGGAGATGGAAAAAGGGTGTCTCAAAAAATAGGTGAATCTAACCGTATTGTAATCATTATATTGTATTATATAATATATGAAATATTTTATATAAAGTAAATGTAAGTCAAG